ATTCCAGTTAACCAAGGTTTAACTGGAAGGTGGTGGTGCTGCACTGCGGACGGTATGGTTGTCTCCGAGCTGGTAGGTTGCGGCTGGAGGCCTTGTGTAATATGGTGGTCCGCAAGTGCATTTCAGATCATTTTTGGGGGGAGCCTTCGAAGACCAACAACAACTCTGTATGTTTCTGTTATAGGGAATGGTTGGTGTTAAATGTGTTTGTTAATAAAAGGCCGTGTTGGCCATTTTACTCCAAAATTGGTGTCATGTTTTCTTTGAGTATAATTTAAGGTGCACTGCAACACGTGGCTATGCACCAGAACTCTTTGCATTACAAATTTTGTGACATGCCTGATTTTCAATGCTTTGACCAATTTTGTTTCAATGAGCTGCCCTATTCAGTGTGCATTAATGCACCAATAAAATAATAAGCTTTGGGTGGGCTGAACCTTTAATAAAATTGCAAAATACTATACCATATCAGTAGTTCTAACAAACATGGTAATTTAATATAGCAGTTTCCAGGGGCTCATTTGTTGAAACACCACATCCTCAATCTTCCCCAACCACTTCAAGTATTCTACACTTCTAGATATGTTGAATACCTGATCCCCTATCATACACTGTGGTATCTCCCACCATCTTTTATGTCACTATAGGAAGTACAGAGCAGGCAGGAGGAACCACAGCATGTAGCAGGGGAAACAAGTGTTTAATCCATCTGACCAGTCAAACATGCGCTGCAAGGGAGCATTGAAGAGGTGGCATATCAACAAACAGGTTGCTGGAAAGGCAGGTATATTCCCTCTTCATTTACATGTATGCTTGTATATACAGATTGGAGCCGACAGGCCCACTTAAAGTAGGTCTAAAGCCAAAATTCATTAAAATAAAAAGATAAAAATCCTTCTACTTGCTGTTCCTCACCCCCTCCCCCCCCCCCCCAATACTTACAGTACCTTTCATGATCCAGCGATGTGCCTGTCTGCAGCAGCACTGCTCTGTCTTCCTACTCTCACAGGACAGACTGAAAACAGCAGTAGCTATTGGATCTTGATGCTTCTCAGTCAAATCCTGTGAGGAGGGAGCAGGGGTGGGGCCAAGCTGCGCCGTGTGCATCTCTGGATGAACACAGCCCAGTTTGGAAGCTTGGAAGCACATGGCTTGCCATGGGGGCACACACAGAAAAGGAGGAGAGGAGATCACCAGCGGGGACCCAAAAAGAAGAAGCAAGAGACCTGTCTTTGAAATACCCTTGCACACTATCCTTGCTTACCATACAGGAGGAGATAAATATAGCCTGTTTTTAATTTAGGAAAAAGATTAGAAGTCTTTAATATCACTTTAAAGTAAACTGTAATCTGTATTATTGTTTTTTTAATGGCAGGGTGGCTTTTTAGATACAGTACATCAGTGAGCACCTGATAACAACGTACCTGACAGGCATCTTTGCTGCAATCAAAATATCCAGCACAGAGCATGTTATCACTCAGTTCAGACCCATAGACTTCAGGGCTGCTGCATTTACTATCGGGAACTATAGGCACTTTTATTTCCTGCAGAACATATGAATATTCTGTGGCATCTAAAGAGAAGATTGTAAAGCAAAGAACAATACAAATGATTTTTAGTATGAGCAGACTGTAAAATAATACAGTATCTGACAATATATTATTGATACCTATAATGATAACCGCTGATAAACCACAATATACTTTATACCATTAATTATCATAATAACTGCTGATAAATAGCATATACTTTATAACATTAGGCCTGGTTCACAGCTATGCATTTTTTAGTGCATTTGCAGAAACGCACTACAGTGCAAAAATGGTTTCCTATGGGACACATTTCACATTTATGTGTTTTCAGCTGCTGCATTTTTTGAAAGGGTCAGGGATTTTTTTTTTTTCCGTAGCAGAATTCAATTTTTGGTGCAATAGACTTCAGTGGAACTGCACCAAAAACACAAGTGTTGCATTCTTTTATGTGTTTTGCTTTTTTTTAGGGCCAGCAACTTGATGTGACTCTCTGGCACTCAAATCGCATCAAAGTAGTGAGGAGCATTATCAAAGTCGCATAAAGGGGGGTTCTATTGTTATCAATAGGCTTGCGACTTGACATACACCTTTGGGTCAAAAGTCACGTTAGGGTTAAGCGCTGGGATTTGGGTAAATATTAGGGTTAAGGTCTAGGCTTAAATGTTAGGGCTAGTGTTAAATGTTAGGGCTAGTGTTAAATGTTAGGGCTAGCGTTCTGACCCTAACATTTACCGCTAACCCTAACACTGGTCCTTACCCTAACATTTAACACTAACACTACCCTTTAACCCTAACTAGTGACTTTGGATGCAGAAAGTTACAGCCTATTGATTGCAAAGGAACCCCTTCAAATCTATGGGACTTAAAGTCACAGTGACTTTGGAAAGGTTCATACGCTACTTTGATGCAACTGAGTGCCAGAGAGTCGCACTCAGTACTTTCCTAATGGCCAACAAAAAAAAACCTGCATTTTAGAAAAAGCAAAATGCACTGCAAAATGCATCAATCGCAACCCGCATAGCTGTGAACCTACTTTTCATAAAGATAACTGCCGATGACTACTGAACACGTTAAATCCAAGCTCTGAACCCTCTCACTTAAAGTGAACCTGAACTCAAAAAGTGAGTATTTGCTTTGTTATAGGAAACATCTAGAAATGTTAATTGTGCCTAGAGATGGCCATAGACTATAGAATCTGATTGCTAGGCTTGTTTCCGGTTGTGGGCAGACTTTCCCTAAGCGCTAATGCATTTTTGGTAGTGATAGATACTACATGTGTCTGGTCAGGAGCTGGGAAGGTCCCAGTGATGGGCCCCCTGGAAGTGGCGTCCCAGAGGTGCTGGCGACACGCTATGGGTTTGGGACCCTACAGAGTGTTACTAGCACTAGGTCATGTCACTTTGCTACTTTGCACTCTTCTTGAGCAGCCTCTAGTCTAGGCTATGCTCTTCTGGAAATTCTTACACTGCTCCGCAGGCCTGCTTTGTGTATTGAACATGGCACTTTTTTAATTTGTTATTTATGCACAAACACTCACCGGCCACTTTATTAGGTACACCTGTTCAATTGCTTGGTAACACAAATTGCTAATCAGCCAATCATATGGCAGCAGCTCACTGCATTTAGGCATGTAGACGTGGTGAAGACGACTTGCTGAACTTCAAACTGAGCATCAGAATGGGAAAGAAAGGAGATTTAAGGGGCTTTGAACATGGCGTGGCTGTTGGTACTAGACGGGCTGGTCTGAGTATTTAAAAAACTGCTGATCTACTGTAATATTCACACACCAACCTCTCTAAGGTTTACAGAGAATGGTCCGGAAAAGAGAAAATATCCAGAGAGCTGCAGTTATGTGGACAGAAATGCCTTGTTGATGTCAGAGGTGAGAGGAGAATGGGCTGACTGGTTGCTGTGACATTCAGATGGTAGGGTCAGAATTTGGTGTAAACAACATGAAAGCATGGATCCATCCTACCTTGTATCAATGGTTCAGGCTGGTGGTGGTGGTGTAATGGTGTGGGGGATATTTTCTTGGCATTAGCGAAGGTGTACCTAATAAAGTGGCCAGAGGGTGTATGTATCAAAGGCACTTACTTCATGTAGGGTTTGCACAGAGACAGATGGTTTTCTTGGACCTGCCCTGATGACAGGGAGGGGAACTGTGGCCTTCAGTTCTTTTTTCTTTTCCCCAATCAGGAGGTCTCTATTCAGGGGAGCCATCCAATAAATACCCGTAGGACCAACTTTCACAGGTCCCTAAAGCAGGGCCGTGGATAAGGGGGTACCACCATTCCTCCTGTACAGGGCCCAGGCCAGAAGGGGGGCCCAGGCAGCTGGGTGAATCGTATGTGAGCAGAGAGGGTGATGAGCAGGTGGGCAATTACTGGAACTGGTCACCCGTATGGTTCTCTCAACTGAAAGCTGGCTTCTCCTCTCCCTCCTGCTGGATTTCAGCTGCTGCAGAAAGAGCCATACAGATTTGCACACATCACCTTCCCTTTGCACCATATGTCTCCCCCTGCTGCCCAGGCCCCCCTGTGTGCCCCCATAGTGCTCCCTCCTCCTCCCTCCTCTTCTTCCCAGCTGCAAACACACAATAGGATCCTTCTGCATGGAGAGTGGGGAAATAGTAAAAATGTCCCAGTTACCAGCCCCTTTCTTTCCTGAATGAACAAAAAGAGAGATTGGTACTGATCACTCACTGTGTTCGTTCATAACTGAAGAATAGTAAGTTGCGTCATCACGTGCCCACGCGTTACGTCACGATGCCACGTGACTTCATCAGGGTATGGGCACATCTTTTATTCTGGCTTTGACCATAAGAGCAGCTATTACTTCTAGGACCACTTTGAGGAGGCTGCGTGCGGGACCTTGCCCACCAGTGAGGGAAACTGACACAGTGGTGGACCGTACATCTGTTGGAGAGGGTCCGGGTTCCAGACCGGTGGTGTTTGTTACCAAAGGCGTGTTGACCCTGCAGGGTCACCACATGGAGGTGAGGAGCCATTGCACCTAGTGTGGGATTCACAGTATCCTATTTCATATTCACATTGACTACAGGACTACAGAGCACCTCCATCTTTTGGACTGTTCTGGACTTTCTGCTATGTATTGGACATTTATTTCACGTTGGCAATTATTATTTAAGACACGTTATTATTTCTTAGTTTTGGACTCTCAAGTTCATGTTGGTTGGTGGTGATCCACTGATAATTCATGAATAAAATTTATGGATTAAGCGAGGCATTGTTTGGTGTCACATTTTTTCATGTCTATTTAGAACCCCCATTTGGGGTCACATATTACTTCAATATTTATAGGCAACACAGCCTAATTTCTCTCTTCACTTATCCCCGTTAAGGGGTCCACACATTTGTTTATTCAGCGATTGCTAGTTGTTCACAGGCGTTTAGCCTGATTCCTCTTCTGCTTTGTTCACGTTTTACCACAATTTGTGGCTTCACGGATTTACTTTGTGGATATCCCCCATTAAGATCACTGATATATATATATATATATATATATTTTTTTTTTTTTTTTTTTTTTTCAATAGTTATACTTGGGCATGTAGGTTATACATGTATTATGTCACTCTATTGCATCCAGGGGCGGACTGACCATTTGGAAACTCGGGCACTGCCCGAGGGCCCGGGGTCAGTAGGGGGCCCCATGAGATGCCCCTGGTACCTTTTTCATAGGCTTTTTTGAGTTTGGCCAAGGACACAGGGGCCCCATGATCCCCTATTGCCCAGGGGCCCCATGAGTTGTCAGTCCGCCCCTGATTGCATCTATTTACTGGTGTTGTTTTTTTAGGGTTCTTTATTCATTATCACGGCACGTATTGTGTGTATGTGTATATATACATGTTTATATTTTCTCTGTGTGGCTAATTTTAGCCCAATAAGGGGAGGTTTTTGTGTTGTTTTTCTTTTTCTATTTTTTGGGAGTATTTATTTCATATATGCTGTTTATTTAGTCACATAGATACTTAGCTATTCTTTAGTATAGGGGGGTGTATTGTTTATGACTCACATTATTACCCAGTGCATTTATTAGCGCAGCACCACATTATTACACTTTGTATTGACCATTTTGGTATGTGGTAAGGTGTTAGCAGCTGTATTCACAGGTCCACCTAAACGCAGAAGGATTTTATTACTGTCACTGATCATCAGTGCCCTGATGATCAGTGTAGCCCCATCAGTGCTACCTGTCAGTGCCCATAATTGCTAACTGTCAGTGCCCATCAATGCCACATACCAGTGCCCATGAGTGCACATCAATGCCACATATCAGTGCCCATCAGAGCTACCTTTCAGTGCCAACTATCAGTGCTGCCTATCAGTGCCACCTATCAGTGTTCATCAATGCCGCCTGACAGTTTTAATTAGTGCCGCCTATCAGTGCCAGTCAGTGCCGCCTGAGTGTCACATATGAGTGCTGCCTTTCAGTGCCCATCATTGATGCTGTCAATGCCCACCAGTGCTGCCTATCAGTGCCTCCTCACTGGTGCCACCTATCAGTGCCCATCACATTAGCGCACATCATTGAAGGAGAAAAATTACTTATTTACAAAATTTTATTACAGAAACTAAGAAAAAAATGTAAAAAAACAAAATTCAGACTTCAGTTTGTTTAGCAAAAAATAAAAACCCCAGCTCTATCTGTCTTGAAAAAATGATTAAAATGTTGTTTGGACACAGTGTTGCATGACCGCGCAATTGTCATTCAAAGGGCGACAGCGCTGAAAGCTGAAAATTGGCCTGGGCAGGAAGGAGATGAAAGGCAAGTGATTAAAAGAGGGAAAGATGTCCACAATGACCCAAGAAGTGGGCAGCCTAAAAGGGAACACTCATACGCTCAGATCAAAGACAGCGCAAATGATGGCAGAAGAATTGAACATGAAGGGAAACAGTGCGGCAGATTCTAACAGAGGATTTGGGAATGAGAAAGATTTCCACAAGATGGTGCCTCAAATCTTGACAGAAGATCAGAAAGATAAATGAAGAATGCAGATATTCTAATTTTTTAAATTCTGGGAAATAAATTGAATATTAAAACAAGAGAGGTATCCAGTAATATTTACAATGTATTATTTTACCACTTTTCCTTTCAGTATCACATTTTTCAGAATTCTGGAGGTCTTTGGTATCCACTATCATTTCTTAACCTGGAAACCATTCATTGTTTTGGATAATAAGCACCATTTCCCTGACTTATACAGATTTTATTCTTTTTTTTTTTTAGTGTTATGCTACATAAGTGCAGACACCTGAATATGGGGCATTGTTCAGTTCAGTCGTAAATGATGAAGGGTGCTTGAACAGATCGACTAATAATGGTGATAGGTCCCTGCAGAAGAGCACATTACCAGTTCTCAGTGCATTTTTATGTAACAGGCGAAAGAATCAGCATAGAACAAACCGTGCTTAAGGTCCCTTATGTGTCGAAGCCTTGATTATTGCCACTGATTTCCTCTGAGTGACTATGATCTGTATTTTTAGCGTAGTACAAAGTACGTTCACCGTGTTCTGAATGTAGCACAGGGAGAAGAATGATGGACATAGAATGATTGCTCAGCTATATCTAAAGTCTCAAACTGTATTAGATGCTAGACTGCACTGTATCATGTTTTATACATGCTGAAATTATTCTTTTTTTTCAAAGAACTTGTCAGTTTAGCAGAATTTAAGTAGACAGTGTCGTATTATCTATGTGCAAGCCATTACACCAGTTTTTAAATGTTTCAGTGTACTACTTGTATCTGTTCAGACAGAAAAAGTTTCATATAGTATCAATTAACATTGCAGTATTTATAACATTAAGGAATCAATTCATTGTCAAATTTATGAAATTCTGTAAAACAACTTAAAGCGGAATTCCACTCACACTGTAAAAAAATAAAAGTCAGCAGCTACAAAAACTGTAGCTGCTGACTTTTCAAAAACAGCCACTTACCTGTCCCATGATCCCGAGGTGTCCTCCATGCAGCCGGCCGTCCTGGATTCCAGGAGGCCGGCATCTTCAGTGTGGGCACCCGACTGTGACAGCTTGCGGCTTCAAGCTGGGTGCCCACTGCACATGTGCGAGAAGCGCTGCGCTTCCTGAATGATCCTGTAGTCTTCTGGGACCTGTCACTTGTCCCAGAAGATTACGGGGTGGGAGGGAGGGGAACTTCTGCTTCCGATCGCCTAGACGTTCGCAACGGAAGTGGAAGCGGGTACCTGTCAATTTCGGGTACACACTTCCCCCCCCCCCCACTCCCCAAAGGTGCCAATCCTTACTAAGGAGTGGGGGACCAGTCTTTAAAGCAGAGCTTCCCCTTTTGGGTGGAACTCCGCTTTAATAAACATATTAAAGTGATACTAAACAGTTTTTTAAAGCATTTTGAACAGCTGATTTAATTGCTTACTGATTATACAGCTTCTTCATCATGTTATCCTTTCCTATGATCCTGTTTAAGCTGGTGCCTTGACCACTGACCCCAGATTTCCTATTTCAGAGTGGGTCCTTTCTTTTGCAGCATCCTATGGAGCCACCCTTATATGCGGAAACTAGAGTTGAGTCTACCTACACTGTGTGCATCAATAGAAACACACAGCCCCATAGCTTAGGATGGCAAGCACTCCCTCCTCCCTCTAGTCTCCAAGCTTACAGACTGGCTCCTGACTGCACTGTCCACTGTTAAATCTTTCCCGTGAAGACCAGAAGCTCAGGTAAGCCAGCAGGAGCCAGCAGCATTGAACGTTGTAAACTGCAAGCACTGGGGTAAGAATTCTAACAAACCGTTATAAAATAGTTTACTGGGGAATGTTTACCAATTGTGCTGATTGTGTGAATCCAAAGTGTTTAACCGCTTGCTGGGGTGGCAGCGGTGCGCAAAATCATTTATATATACGTGAATTTGCATTTCTGGGTAGAGGGCGTGCGCGAGTCACGTACCTCGGCTGTCAATCACCAGGCCCAGGCCAGTAATTACTCGCTGGCGCCCTGTGATTTCCGAAGATCTCCGACGGGGAGGAGGACTGTTTTGTTTACTAACAGTCTTCCTCCCTGTCAGCTCAGGCACACTGCTGTGGATGGCTGTGCACAGCACAGCCATCCACAGCAGTGTGATTATAGTCAATCACAAACATCGCCCCTTAGTAAAACACTCCCAGCACACAGTTAACCCTTTGATCGTCCCTCATGTTAACCCCTTTCTGCCCAGTGCCATTAGTACAGTGCCAGTGCTTTTTTTTAGCACTGATCACTGTATTGGTGTTACTGTGGATGTCAGTGATACCAAGTCAGTTCCCCCCAGTGTCAGAATGTCGTGCTATAAGTCGCTGATCACCGCATTACTAGTAAAAATTTAAAAAAAAAATCCCAGTATATATACCGCAATTTGTAAATGCTATAACTTTCATGCAAACCAATTAATTTACACATATTGGGATTTTGTTTACCAAAGACATGTCGCAGAATACATTTTAGCATAAATGTATGAGAAAATGCGATTTTTAAAATTTTTTTACTAGACATATTTAATAGCAAAAAGTCAAAAATATTGTTTTTTTTCCTCAAAATTGTCGGTCTTTTTTTTTTTTTCTTATAGCGCAAAAAAAAAACAAAAAAACTCCAGGCAATCAAACACCACCAAAAGAAAGCTAAATTTGTGGGAAAAAAAGGACGTAAATTTAATTTGGGTGCAGCGTTGCATGACCGCGCAGTTGTCAGTTAAATTAACACAGCGCCGTAATGCAAAAAATGGCCTGGTCAGGAAGGGGGGTAAATACTCAGGAGGACAAGTGGTTAATACTAATACTGTTATGTATGCTGTGTATTAATATGCACACAATTGTATTAATGCCAAATATTTTATAATATATTATGCATTTCAACCTATTAATAAACATGGGGAGAAGGGAAAATATAGGTTAATTATCTAGGTGTTGCAGGGTTTCCAGGATATTTAATAATAAAAGAAAATCACCCGTTAGTACCCCCCCACACACACACACACACAAAACACTAAACCGTTAATACAACTTAGAAAACCCTTATCATTTAGGAGAAACGTCTAATTGAATATTCATGACCTCATCTCTGTAATTCAAAAGCTAACAGCATCTTTTCTGCCAAGGAGGAGGTGTAACATCATATCCTCTCCTCTCTCTCTCTGCAGTAAAAGGAAACAACAGTTCCCATCAACCACAGGGAGCTGTAGTGAATGTGGGCAGATAATACTAGGCCTGTACATGATAATACTAGGCCTGTACATGTCATTTTTTTTTTTTTTTTTTTGCGCTATAAGAAAAAAAAAAAAAAAAGACCGACAATTTTGAGAAAAAAAAACTATATTTTTGACTTTGTACAGGCCTAGGCAAAACTTTTTTTTTTTATATTTTTTGAGAGGGGTTAGAACTCCTGTCAGTTTTTATTGCTCTCTATGCCCCCATTAAGGAGATTTGCCTTCTCTATTTTTCCTGTTTACCATTGTCATTGAAAGTGAAGGAAAAAGATAATTGAAAATGAAAGTAAAAAAATACCAAATTTTGGGTTACCCTCAGAAAAGAAATAAAGGGAAAATCTTCCAATGGGGACACTAGTTCTGCTGCAGTAGGGGTCCCCATGGATTTCCCTTAATTTGCAGGGATTTCCTCTCACATCCTGTTTGGGGAACTCTCTGCAAAGAGACACAGATGGCGAAGAAAATCTGACAGAGGTTATACCCCTCACTTACTCTGTCCAAAATGAAAAAAAAAAGTTTTGC